CGTTGGCAATCGGCTGCTGGGAGACCCCCCTGTCAGTGATCTGGTGCCCCCCATACTCAGGTGGCACCAGTCGCTCATGTGTTTGGAGCACATCTTCAGGCTTGGGAAAGTCCAGTTGCTGGCTCAAGCCCCAGGGCTGTGCTTTTCCTACCCCTCCCACCATGCCTGGGAACAAGGCTATTTTTTGGCTCCCTGGCCCCTCCCCTCACCCCAAAAGGACAACCCACCCCACAGACCAACCAGCCTTCCCCTTCTTCCCCCCCCGAGACTGCCAAATCTCTGACCCTGCAACCTGCTCCTGGTGCTGGTTTTATCATCATTTACTGGTACTAGGAGCCAACTAAAGTAAGTCGAGGTAGGGGGAGGAGTGGACAGGATCAAGGAGGGTTGGTTCACCAGGGCGTTGTTTGTCTAGAGGTGGAGGGGGTCGGCATCTAAAAATAGCCCCTGGTTGGTGGGGAGAGCCTCCATATCCCACCAAGCCTCCTCCTGCAGAGCCACCATCCTTCTCAATTCTACCACCCCACCGCTCCCCAATCTACCCACCTCTCTCCCCTCCTCCCGACTTTCCTCACATCAGGTTTCTAGCACCTGTATACTTACTAAGTTAGATTGGGGCCATTTTTAACTCGATCTAACCCCCAAACTTCTAGATGCATTGTCTGTATGAAGCCTTAACGTTAACGAGCCAAGCACATTTAGCTAGACTTCCAGTTGGGGGTCACAAAATACAGCACCTTTTTTCCTGCCCAAATGAAAATTGTCTGATTTTGATTTAAAATCAGATATGAAAACAGAGCTCTTGCCTTGACTATGCCTGAAACTGTACTTTCACTGCCTGAAAAGCTTTGTGGAAGATTTACATTTAAACTACCAATATTATCCCAAGGCAGAGAAGTTTCTGTGGGATGCAAATCACATGTGGAGCAAAGTCTTTTGTATATGAAAGTTTTTGAATGATGGGGAAAAATGCTATCTGTTTCTATACTTTTCCTGTCTGGTAGAGCTCCTCTGGGGTTGACTGTGTCTCTGTCTCTGTCTGAATGGAAGTCAGGCTTGGTACTGAGCAGAGAACCATGCAGAGGTAATTTGTATCCTAGAATGAATATTATTTTTGTTCAGGTACAATTAGACTTGGTATTGGTATAGAGATATAGATTAAAGCTCAGACATTTTCCAACAGCTGTACAACCAACTGACAAATCACTTGGTGGTACTGTTGTCATACTTTTGGATGAACATTAGAAAACAAGCCATAAACAGCCAAGCAATTTATTTTGATTCATTTGCAATTTCCTTTTTAAATCAGTATTCCCATAATACATTCCACCTGCTTCACACTGGTTCACTGGTAGAAGAGGGGTATGACAATTCAGGACAAACTAGCTTTAAAAACACCTCTACCACAGCTATTAACATTCCCATGGGAAGCTGAGGATTCTTGGAATACCACCTTGTTCTCAGATAGAAAAGCTATACATGTTAAATGCCTCATTTGCATGTGACATCAATAAAATAATTGCATAATGTTCCCAGCTGCTTTTACACAACCAAAATTGTCACGCATAGGGCCAGATCCTCAACTGCCATACATTTTCACATCTGTATTTTCAATGGAATTGCATCAGTTAATACCAGTTAAGGATCCACTTTCAAATCTCTTTTTGATTCTTTTCAGGCTAACATATCTGGGAGAACAGTGGGGAATGACAAACTAGGGGCACGAGAAAAATAAGGTTGCAGTGCAGCTAGTAAAAACTAGATTTTTTTATACTGAATCATACCCTTGACTTCAATTACATACCTCTGCACTTGAAGTAAATAGGTAATAGACTGTACCCTTTTAATACATTTTTAAAATTAAATATTTCCTCTAAAAATTATCTGGATCTTAAATACATGTAAACAAACAGATAAAAATAGTAAGAGGCCCTTGTAAGCATCACAGAGGTTGTATCCATGCAAATGTATCTTTATTTGATGCTTTACTTTTTCTTAAATTGGGAGTTAGGAAAGTTGGATACACCTTAAATTCAAGAGAGTCTTATATTTGAAGGAACATGGTACAACAATAGATTAACAGCAGGTATGTATGGCATGGAGATAAACTGGAGTTTAGAATATGGAACAATAATTAGTAGACTGGGTTTTCTTTAATTCATAGATGATTTCCTCACCCTTCATAAAAAGGGATTCACATTAATAATATAATGATTTTGTTAACATTGTAAAATAGTCAAAATTAACAAAAACACAGATAAAAGCTGGTTTCTAATGAAAAAAGATTTTACCTTCATTCCTGGCTCTTGGTTTGTTGCAGGAAGAACCAATAGCTTTGCTTCCAATTTGTACATAAAACTGAACTAGTCTGTTAAAAACAATCAAAAGCCTCATTAGAAAATAAATCTAATATTGATAATATTTTTTACTTTTCCTAATTGATGATGATTGTTTAATTATATCATTATTGAGTGCTGTTTATTTAGTTAAAGTTTCCATTGAAATAAAACAATCCATTAAGTTCTCAGAAATTCTTCCTGGGCAGGGAGTATTAAGCCCCAATAATTCATGAAGAGTTTGAGTGGTTACTTGGTACTGTGCTGAATAAATGTGCTGTCTGTAAAATGTAGTGTATCTGTGTAGTGCAGTTGGAAAGAAAAAGAATTAAAAATATCCTGCTGAAACATTTTAATGTAGCTTGTGTCAATAAAACAACGGGACTTCTGTCCTTGTGAAATGACTGTCTAAGAGCTCAATACAGGGCTTTCTTAGGTGATGGGTTAAAGCTGCTGTATCTCTGGAGTTTCTAATAGCTCTTGTGAGAACGATATGAAAGAAGGATTAAGCTAAAACATTTATTACTATTTTTGAAATTTTACCAAGCAAATCAGAATCCCAGTACATTGCATATATACAGGCGAGTACTGAAAGGTCTCTCTAGCCCAGTATCCTTTCCCTGACAGTGGCTAATGCTTCAGAGCTAAGTGCTAAACCCTTTCAGGAGGCAGATATGAGATAATCTGAAATGTATATGAGAAATGTATATATGTATGTATGTATGAGAAATGTATAACAAAATATGTAGTAATAATTAATTAGGGTAATTCTGGATGTTTTGATATCCCGTCCATTTTTTAATCTTAAATTCTTGGCCTCAATAATTTCTTGTGGCCATGAATTCCACAGTTTAATTACATATTTTTTGAGAAAATACTGTATATCTCTTGACTTGGAATCTCCCACATTGTAATTTAACTGAGTGCTCTATATTCTCAAACTATGAGGAAGGGAAAGCAGAAGCTCCTACTTTGCCTTTTATATGGCATTAATTATTGTATATCTCTCCTTTTTCATCTTTTTTGTATGGTGAACAGTTTCTCATATGAGAATTTTTCCATGCTCTTGATCCTTCTCATTATCCTTCTCTAAACTTTCTCTAATTTTGCTGTGTCCTGCATATGACTGGGTGATCAGTACAGCATACAGCATTCCTGATGAGGCTGTAACACTGATTAATACAAAGTCATTGTAATATTTTGTATTATTCTTCACCTGAATTCTTATGCACAATAAATCTTGTTAATTTTTCTGACTATAACTGCCTCTTGTGTAGAGGCTTTCATCAAACCATTTACAGAGATAGCCATATCTCCTTGAGATGACAGAATCAATTAGAACCCAGTATGGTGTTAGAGTAATTTAAATCTTTCCCTCCAATGTGCACTAGTTTGAATTTATCAACACTGAATGAATATTCAATTAAATTATAGGGTCCAGTCTCTCAACTTTTTTAACTCTTAACTCTTTATCATCCCTCCTTCTCACAACTAACCTAAATAACTTGGTGACACCTACAAACAGTGTCCTCTTATTACTCATTTTCCTTTTCCAGATCATTAATTTAACAACAGTGGGAACTGATATGGGACTTTGAGGTCGCCAGACTTTTGCCATGATGAAAATGCCTACTGAATGCAGTTTTTCTTTTCCTGGTCAGTTTCTGATCCTTGCCAATGGTTAGTCTCTTGTCCCATGGCTCTTTAGCTTCTTCAGCAGCCACTGGGATCTAGTGAAAAACCTGGTAGAAAGCAACTCTATAAACCATTCAAACTTTTCCTTCTTTTATTTTAAATGTGCTAAATTTGGTGGGTGATTTTTTTTGGTTTATGTAAATGAAAGACTTCTCCATTCCCACTGGGCTAATTCCATTCATGGCAGAGGAGGTACCCTTGACTTGCACTAGTATTAGTGATAACAGAATCAAGCCAAAGGACTATGGCCAGGCATAATGCAGTGTAAGTGCTCCACAAACTTTACTCAAACTGCCTTGCATGAATATCACAATCTTCTTCTGTTCCTTGGGCTTCTGTAAAGCAAGCCCTGCACTGCTCAGTTGTCTAAAACTGCCTGATGCACATCTGAGGTACTGCATATTCACAGGCAGAGGCACAACAACCAGGGTCTGCATTTTGGACAGCAACAGAGGCTGGGCTGGCTAGAGCAGCTGTGACAGGGGCAAGCCTGGCTACTGCAGCTGCATCAGGGGCCAGGCTGGTTGCAGCAGGTGCCATTTTTGCACTTGCTTAAGTGGGAGCCCTGGACTGGTGTCCTGTTTGCTCATCACTTGTTACACTACTGTTCACAGGAACTAGGATGAGATTAGCAAGACCATGGTTACTTGCCTTATCCAGTGTCTAATTCTGTATCTAAAAAGCTGGAAAGGTTACTGTATTACTGCATTTACCCAACAGGACTCCATTGCCTTTTTTTTTTTTTTGAAAATCATTACCAGCCTTCTATGCATGTGTATGAAAGAGTGCCCAGGTAGTTAAACACTAGCTGGTGACAGATTTGGAAAGGGTTTGCGTCCTATAGTAAACAATTTGGCCAACAGTTTCTTGCACTGGAAAGACTAATTTTAAAAAAGGACCTGTTCTTCAGGAGGACAGGCTGCCCATCCAGTCTGTAAAGGTTTGACCCAAAACAACTCTCTGAGCCTGTTCTATAGTCATTAGCAGCAGAGTCTGCCACACAGATGGGAGCTGACTCAGCTAACAAGCCAGATGTCATCACTTAGAAAAAAATATATTCCACAGTTTTTTATCTAGCTTCTGCAGCTGCCAGGTAGGCCCCATGTGTGCCTGCACTTGCTGAGCAGATAGTGAAGGAAGTAATCAGGGACAAGCATTAGGAGCAGGAGGGAGTGACTAAATCTGTAATAAAATTGCATCCAGGTATCATATTGGCAGCCTAAGGATGTAAATGCTGCAAGAAAAATTGTGGCCTGGCTATTCTGGGCCTTCAGAAGAGTGGTAGATGGCAGTTTCCAGAACAAACCTGTGGTGTATGGCAGCATGACTTAAAAATGGCTTGCATGTAATGAATTTGCAGTTCACCTTACAGCTCCTTTTGAATTATGAGATGCACTCCACAATCCTCAGACAAAGGCACAATATTCAGGGGAGAGAAGGGGACAGACAGGGCCTGGCAGACAGGCGGACCCTTAAACTTATGGTTAACATTAAATATACTGTGTTTAAACCCACTGATTACAATAGGAATTAAACACATGCTTAAAATTAAATCCTTATTCAGGTAATCCTGGAAGTGAGATACTTTCCGGAATTGGGGCCAGGATCAAGCTGGGAGATGATCCCATGGGCTAGGGGCAGACATGCAAAAGCCTGAGCCTGAATTGATTCAATCTTTTAGATTAGTCTAACTTGGTTAAACTAAACTGGTTTCAACCATACAGACATCTCAGAAATGCAGGCACGTGGCTGCAATGGCTCAGGCTAGAAGCTGGGGGGGTGGTGATATAGCAACCCACCCTTCACTTCCACAGTGCCAGCTGAAGGGGGGCGTGGCCAGGCCCCAGCAGGATGCTCTGATTAGGGAAGGGTTTCCCCCTGCCCTTCTGAGTACCCCAGAAGGGAATTGATAAAACAGTGTTTATCATCCCTAATTCAGTGTTTATCACCCCATTGAGAAAACAATATAGGGACATTACCAGCTACCTGTTGATTCTGCCTTTGTCCCCGTCTGCCACAGCAGGGACCGTAGCCAGCATGTGGTCTGCTAGCTAATGCTGAGAAGTGTCTGTGTAAGGCAGAGGGGATGGGGGAATAATCACTGCTTAGCAGGGAGTGGGGAGGGGAGGGGGGAAGCAGGGGGAAGCCAGGCATACGCCTGCATTTTCTGCTAAGTGCTAGCCAGGGAGCAGAGGGGAGGGGCCAGCTCTGCTGTGGAGCAGAGAGCCCAGCCCAGCAAGCATGCTGGGATGCTGGGGGAGTCTGGTTTAACTTAAACCAGCAAGAGGTCTGGGACAGACATTGCATAAACTGGTTTGACCCAAATCAGTTAAGTGTCATACTACATTCAACCAGGTTTATCTCTAACCAGTTTCAGCCATTTTCAAACTGGTTTGAACATCTGTTCTGTAACAGGTTTAAACCTGTTTCAGATCACTTAAACCAGTTTATGTGTAATGTCTGTCCCTAGCCTTAGGGTCACAGCATGTTGGCAGAATGGAATTAGGATCTTGCCCAGCTCCTCCTCAGGCCTATCAGAGTGGGAGCTAAAAGGCTTCATGAATTCTCCATTTCACACATGAGCAAAAATTTGCTTGCAAAAAATGGGGTTTAATTGTGCTGAAAGTATGTCACAGGTCCACACATTTACCTGCCTGTGTGCAACAGTTGAGAGAGAAAAACTTATTTTAAATTTCTCATCATAAAATTGAATTAAGCAAGTGATATTCTGCTGCTTGCTACAATAAGATTTGAAAAGGGCTTGAAGGGCACTAATATAGGACAAACAGTAAGTTATTTTTTCAAATATACTCCACTCATTTCAGATATGCTTTCTCACCCTGAATCTGATTAAATATTCTGGGGAATTTAAAGCATGATTTCCTATTATTTAAAAAAATTTCCTTTCCCTTGCTGCCATGTGAAAACATAAAACAGCAGCAGAAGCCAACTGACTGATCACAAAGGTAAGCTGTCCACATACAAAGTGCTATTAAATGCACAAAATTAAAAGAATTTTTTTTCTCTAATTTCTTTCCATTGTGTTACTTATTACTATAATATCAGAAAAGCAAGTTTTTTGGGTGATATATTTTACTGGAAAAACTATAGTTGGGAGGGATGTTAGCCAAACTTTCAGACACAAAGGTCTTTCCTTAGGTTCAGCTTGTCTAACACATCTCCCAACTATACAATTGGTCCAATAAAAGAGATCACCAAAAAATCTTGCTTCTTCATTTATGGATTATCCTAGCTACCACAGCACTCTAACTTTCTATTATAATATCAGGATGTTTACAAACAGAAGCAAGACTGTGTACCTTACAATTACTTCTCCCTATTTCAGATTGACTGTATCTTTAATCCCATGGAAGATAAAGATCCAGCTGTGATTAGGAAGAGTTCAGCCTGAATATCTGTGTTTAGAGCAAGTAGATCAAAATGTACATAAATGTGGGGAAGTGTGCTCCTAATGCCTACTGCTTGAGAAAAATCACTCTATTTCTGGGTTTGAGAAGCCGAATGATACCATTGCTTCTTTTTTTTTGGCGGGGGGGCAGGGGGAGGGTGGAACAGCACTGGACCTGGCTCACACACCTCAGCTGTCCGAGGAAGTTAACCTGATTCTGATAACGAACATTGACTCTGACTTCTTTGAACAAATCAATCTGTAGTAGTACTCAATATACACGCTAAGTATATGTTTGAGAATAGGGCTCTATTTTAGTAGGTATCATTTGCTGGGGCAATTTTGAGAAGCATGATAACAGTTTTCTCATGCAAGTCAGGAATAAAAGGGTCAAGAAAAAGAATCACTTTGCTTCTGTAAGGTATGAGAGATTTTTTAATTAAACCTATTTGAAACTAAAGTTGTAAAATTCTTTATGCAAACATTTGCTACTAAAGAATGGTTTTCTAGTAATATAGAAACTGAAGAAAACTCTTTGTCTTCTGTAATACGACTTCTAAATGACAGGAAAAGCAATACTGAGTAATATTCACATATACATTTTAGCATGATATGATGACATTAGACATTGTATTCTGCTATTCATTACATAAATGCTGAAAACCCCCATAGGACACATAAGGACACAGAGGAATAGGTGCACCCCCTTGTGAACCATGAACAGAGTCACAGATGCACACAAATAACTGCCAGACATGTGGATTACAGAAAAAGGCAGCCGTTGTTCTATTGCATGCTGCCCCCTATGATGCTGGCAATCTTGCCAAGTCCATGGCCCACATCACATAATATAGGGGATTGTTTGGGAAATGACTGCTGAAAACTGTTAGGGTTGCTAGGGTATGAGTAGTCTGTGCAGTAGGATCCCATAGAAACCAAGGCAGCCGTATGTTTGATGATGCAGCAAAATTCTTCCTGTCAGATTTAACTCCATTTCAAATTCAACACCCCTTACAGAGGGAGGCAGTGTGTAGCAGCAGGCCAGCAGATGTTTGCTCAATAGCCATGCTATCGGGACATACAGGATTAATGGATTTTTGTAGAAAAGATAGCTTTCTACAGGGGATGAGGCCTGGACTGCTCACAGACCTTTGGCTTTGTGTTGTTCCAGGCCATGTCTCCTGCCTGTCCCATTGAGAACATCCTGCTAAGACATTGTCACCAAAAACCGAGAATCTGTATTTTCCATGTTTTCATTCCCTTGCTTTTTAACTTCATATTCCCCCTTCCAACTTTTAGTCAAGAAAGGGAAGGATTTTGTCTTGTGTTAACAAAAACAATGAAACAAACAAAAAGCAAAAACAAAAAATACAAACCCAGTTTTTCTGAAGCACGGTGTATTTCCCATCTTTAAGCTGTTTCTTAATGAAGTATTGGTTGCAGTTAAAAAAAAAAAAGAACACTTCATACCACCTTGTGTGTCTTGCTGTAATAGCCCAGGGAATGCAATAGTAACATGCATACAGTGTTTGAGGAGTGGCATTTGCTATTGACCTGATATTTGCGGTATCCAGAGGGACTGTTCTTGCTTCCCGTTTACCAGGCCCATTGAAGTAAAGAGATTTTCCGTCACTCAGGGTTCCACAGCCTGTCCCAACCTGACCTCCAGTTATCTTGTACCAGAGAGGGCTCAGCTTCCTCTCAAACCTGTCGAACATCTCACTGTGATTAGGTACATTAGACACACAGGTTCCATGTGAGGCTTCAGAAGAAAAAAAATATATAGGAGATGCTTTGTTGAAACAGTGCTGAACAGTAAAAGTCGGATTCAGTAAATTGACAAATGGTATAATTTCTTACATATATTAGACTTGGATGAGGAAGCCCCATGATAAAAGGATTTGTACTTTCATTTAATACTTTTTCTAGCCAAAATAAGGATCCTTTCCCTAAAATCCTTTCTAAGAGTGGCAGGATGTTTAACAGGTGGAAAATGTCCATAGTTTATACTGATCAGACACAATTTTAGTTAACAGAAAATAATTTTCCTGTTGTGTTTGTTTAAACAAATTAAACCAACAACATGCTGTTGCAGAGGGTTTAAAAGAATAGCATATGCAACTGGTTGTGCCAGTCACAGTTGGTTTTTTGTTGTTGTTTCTGCATAAAAACCCTTGAAACCACAAATGAACAGAATTTTTCACAGAAGGCCTGTCATAACATATGCTCATTTCTTGTCACATGCCATCTCAAGGCCAGGGGACTGAAAACAGTAGGAATTTGTTTGAAGATTGTCCAAAAAAATTCTAAGCAGACTTTTTAGTTTATAATATTTTCTCCAGATTTCTCTTTTATCTTTAGGTCTCTTCCCATTTATATGGATGACAATGTTCAAAGTTTATAATGGTCAGAAAATATCACTAGTATGCATGTATTCTTGTAATGTTTCACTTTGTCAGTGCTTGATGCTGAGCTCATGAACTGTGTTCTTACTCAAGCAAAAAGATTTTCACTAACAGCCCATGAGTTAAAGACATCATAATTAGATGCTACATTTTATACAACTCATCCAAATATTTTACAGCAATAACATGTAATAAATGTAGCCTTACCTGTATAGCCCAAGTCACAAAAACAGACTCCAGAAACACAGTCCCCATGACCACTGCAATAATTAGGACAAGGCTCTGAGATGTAAACTCCATCTAAGCCAAAAGGGGGCACATTTTTGTGAGAACTGCTCTCTTGGATCCAGCGAAATCTAGTTTTACTGTGGAAAATGATAACCAAAGGCACAGTGTTACCGTTGATTGCTTTCAGACCCCTTTGTACACTTCATGCACTGCCTCAAGTTGGAAATCAAAAGAAGCCTTTTCTAGAACAGCCCTTACACATGAGATGCAAAGATGTGCTTGGAAAACACTAACTTTTCTTATACTTTTGTGAAATTTCTCTTATGATTTTTCCTTCCAGACAGTTTCTTCTACACATTTTGACCTTCTGCATTTTCCTGACACTATAACCCGCAATGTGGCATAAAGGGTGATTGTGTGGCTTTATCAGTAGGCAAGAATGAAATGAATTGTTGCTGTCTTTGAAATTTGACTCCTTAGAGTTTTGGAAATGCTTTATCCACTTAGGGATTTGGCACAGGTTACCTGTATAATGTCAGTAATGTGTGGAATGTTGTAATGTCATAAAATGATTGCGTTTTTAGAGTAGTCATAGATTTCATAGATTTTTAGGGTCAGAAGGGACCTCAGTAGATCATCGAGTCAGACCCTCTGCCCTGGGCAGGAAAGAGCACTGGGGTCAGATGACCCCAACCAGGTGCTTGTCCAGTCTCCTCTTAAAGACCTCCAAAGTAGGGGATAAAAATACCTCCCTTGGAAGCCCATTCCATATTTTGGCAACCCTCACCATAAAGAATTTTTTCCTAATGTTTAATCTAAATCTGCCCTCCATCAGTTTATAGCCTTTGTTCCTAGTAACCCCAAAGGGTGGCCTGGTAAACAGAGAATCCCCTATTCCTTGCTGCCCCCCCTCCCCCTTCTCCCCCCAATGAATTTACAGATGGCCACAAGATCTCCTCTCAGCCTTCTTTTGCAGAGGCTGAAGAGATTCAGGTCCCTCAATCTCTGCTAGTAGGATCTTACCTGCAGGCCCTTAACCATACGAGTAGCCCTCCTCTGGACCCTCTCAAGGTTATCCACATGTCTCTTAAACTGTGGTGCCCAGAACTAGATGCAGTATTCCAGCTGCAGTCTTACCAATGCCACATAAAGGGGAAGCATCACCTCCTTGCACCTGTTCGTGATGCACCTTCTAATACATGAGCGTATGGTTGACTTTACTTATCACTTCGTCACATTGATGACTCATGTTCATTTTGGAGTCAACTATGACTCCGAGATCCCTTTCTGCTGTTGTGCTGCTTAGAAAGTCACCTCCCAATCTGTAGGTGTGTTGGTGATTCTTTCTCCCTAGATGTGGCACTTTGCACTTATCTTTGTTAAACTGCACCTATTCTGTTCTGCCCACATTCCCAACCTGTCCAAATCTGCCTGAATACACTCCCTGCCCTTCAGTGTGTTTACCTTGCCCCATAATTTGGTGTTGTCTGTGAATTTGGACAGAGTGCTTTCCATGCCCGCATCCAAGTTACTAATGAAGATACTGAACAGCACTAGTCCAAGGATCAAACCTTGGGGAACTGTACTACCCACATTTTGCCAGGTCGAATATGACCTGTCCACCACCACCCTCTGGGTCCATCCTATAAGCCAATTCTCCATCTACCTGACCATGTAATAATCTACGTCACAACCGCTTACGTCTGGTGAAGGCCTTGGGTCCTTTCAGACCTGCATAACTGATTTGCTACTAGGGGCACTGACAGATGTGCAGCATCCTGGTCTAACTCATGGCACTTCACAGAAAGCGCCATAAGTTAAACCAACCCTCCTGACCCAACAGATGTTTACTATTGGATTGGGAGAATGGGGGATTGCACTGTGCTTTGGAGCTGATATAACTGAGGCGTGTGTGCAGCTTCTCTTCCCTAGCCCTGTCCTTCCCACTCCCCCATAGCTTCAGTGTTGTCTGTGTGATGGGAGCAGGGGAGAAGGATGGGGAGGGAGCTCATGCTGGGGTAGTTTGCCAAGCCTGTGCTGAAGTGTGGGCAGGTGGATTGGAGAGAGGGCATGGGTTGGGGGGGCTGGCTGGCTCTGCAATTAAATGCTGAGAGGGCTGAAGGGGGTGTGGTGGGGCAGGGTTACTAGTAGAGGTTTGAAGGGTGGGAAGGCATAGAGTAGCTGAGAGCTGTGTATCCTGAGATGCTGGAGGAATGAAAGTAAGGCATTTTATTTCTCCAGAGCATCCATACAATACCCTGGGATTACCTGGGCAAAGTGAATCAAAGATCAACCTCAGCTGTAGTGACATCTCTCTCAAACATTTAGACAGTACTTATGGCAGTTTTACACCCCTTAACTAGTGACTGCTCTCATTTTAGATGCCTTTATGACACTTTTAAGGTAACTTGTGCGAAGGCCCTTATTCATTGCTGAGCTGCTTGTTACATTTTGAAATTCCAGAAACTCATTTGGTATAGTACTTTAAAAAAATTATAAGGATGAGGAATTTGATGTGATGTGATGGTGATGTATCTTTGCATGTAACATTGTCTGAATTGGCCAATAACAAATTCACTTATAGGGCTTTGGATAGCTGAACTGAAGTGTAAGCATCCTTTCTCTTGATTATAGTTAAGTCACAAAGCTATTCCCTAAAAACAGTGGCCAGACTTTCAACTGGTATATACTAGCAAAGCTCTGTTGATTTCAGTAGGTCTATGCCAATTTACTACATCTGCCCCATTGCTTAAGAAGTTTGTCAAAGAAAAAAAGCAGCTAGAGGATAGCAGCCAGGGACTGCCTTTCCATTGGATTTACAGGAGCTAGTTAAGGATCTGGGAAGCTTTCCAAGTCTGAGTCTCTTGTTAGATGAAAGTCTCATCTCATTTTCCCACCTGTGTGTATTCATCATGTGAAACATGCCATGTTTCTGACTCACCCATAGGAATGGGATCTGGGATGGGTCAACTGGGAATATGTGTCCACAGGTTCAGAGGTTAATTGATTTTACCCCTTATTTTACAGAAAGTCTGTAGCAGAACTGGGATCTTGTGGATTAAACACAAGAGCATTCTTACTATATTGCCTGATATGTAATGTATCTATTCTTTCTTGTTATTATCCATTGGTCTAGTACCCAGGTGATGAACAAGACATTTTTAGCATCAACGTTTTAGTACATTCTACCAGCTAATAATATGGTCAGGATAACCCATTAACTTTGAACTCTGAACTGGGACAAAACTAGTACAATGTTGACATGCACAGCACATACACTGTGTACGTTCAGTATTGACAGTCTCCCATCTGTAATGCTCATCTGTTGAATAGATGATACAGTGGTAACTTTTTGTTTTGGTTCTGCTGTTTTCTTCTGATTATGTTACTGAACATAATGCCAAACAGATTGCTGCTATTGATTCTGTGCTGCTTGTTTTGGGTAAATCAAATCAGCTGGTGTCAGATTTGTGTGACTTAGCACCTGTTCTTATTGTCTAATTACTGAAAAATACTTATTAGGGTACACATGATAATCTGACTCCTCCGGTAAAGATATTGCCTTCTCTTGTGATACAGCATGCCATATACTGTACATCGTTGCAGTTAGAGAAGGGTAAAAACCTAGTCTTAGTCTGATATGGCAGGAAGTGGAAGATAGCAACAGCATAGGTATACTGGGGGAGACAGATGAGAGGACAGGAAATCTCAGTATGTTCAGGTAGGTGCGTTAGCAGATGACTAGCTTTAGAGTGATAAAGGAAGGATATTTCTATGTAACATTTTAGAGGGTAGCCAAGCTCAGGAGTTTTTACTATGTGATACAGAAAACCTGGAAATAGAAATAAGAAATTGCATGAAAGTTCAAGTAAAATTCACAAAAAGTCCTGCCTGATGAGGCTTGTTTGACATTTTCTCATTTGTACAGGTCACCCAGAAATTTTATATGCTAGCAGTGTGACACTGCTTTGACACAATGATGATGGGCACTGAAAATGCTTTTTTTTTTTTTTTTTGATACCTGTGCTTGTTGTGGAATAGAACTTAGATTTACACCCATCTCTCTCTCATTTTGGGGTTGGGAGGATAATCTGACCACTTTGTGTTATAGCCTCTGTGGGCATGTCCAGACAATTGCGCACATGCAGCATGAAAGGAGTGGGGCAGTACATGTGAAGGCAGCATGCACTGCCTGAAACCAGAGCCTAGCCAGATGGAGCCATCCTCTGGCTGCGTGCCACGCTCCACATGACGGATTGCCGCTGCTGGAGCCTGGGAGGTCCCGAGGACCCCAGGTAATGCAGCTAAGACCTGTCCAGGTGCTGACTCCAGCCTCCCCTATGCCAGCCAGGGCAACTTGCCACACACCAAAGCAAACGTGAATGGGCAGTCCCCAGGGACAAGTAGCAGTGGCACAAAACAACGGCCAGAGGATGGCAGCCAAGGGCTACCTTTCCATTGGATTTACAGGTGCTAGTTAAGGATCTGGGAAGATTTTCAGGTCTGAGTCTCTCATTAAATGAAGTTCTCATCTCATTTTACCATTGTGCCACTGCTATATGTCCCTGGGGAAATGTATGTGTGCACATGTCTCACATGTTCTGTGGGTACATCCAAACGAGCACACACGTGCACTTTGTGGCACCTCAAAGCTGTTTGAGGCTCCGCAAACTGCATGCAGCTCACATGCACCTGTTTGCCATGCTGCTAATTTGCAATGCAGTGCCAAAATTTAACACAGGGAGATCCCAGTGCCAAAAAACCCCACTACAGAAAGAAGTGGTGCAGCACGTGCCACTGGAAACAGAGCCTGGCTGGCCAGAGCTATGTCTGGCTCCCAGCTAGGCTCTGAGCAGCCAGATTGGCACTGCTGATACCCCAGGAGGCCCCCAGGGACCCAGGTAAAGCTGCTGGAATCAGCCGCCCCTACCCAACCTGGGTCAATTTGCCACGTGCTGGAGCATGTGTGCCCTGGGACAAAAAGCAGTGGTGCAAACATGCCGTTGCTTTTTGTGCTGCAGGAAATGTGCACCCCTGCATGTGTGCACTTGTCTGGATGCACCTTGTGTGTTCCACAGTCTCAAATGCTCATCATCATCCAATGACATGGCATATTATAGAGCAACTCAAATACTCTTCTAGTTTTTCTTTGCTTAGTAGAAAGTGTTTTTGTAAAATTAATCCTATTGAAATGGCTTATCTGATTCATGTGACTTATCACTCTCTTGCTGGCATTTCTGACCTAACTGATAAGCCTAAAGAAAGGTAGAACTATGATAAAGAGATGTATGGAATATTAAAATGTTGTGCTTGTTTCTGTTATGGTTCCTTGTTGCCTTGTAATTTAATTTTATAGCTTGTTCTAATGCTTTTAAAAAAAGGCTTTACTTTTTTTGCATATCAACATATTCTTTATGGAATATGGATTTTTAACTCTGTTCTGGTTTCAGCTTTCAGCATTTTACTAGCATAGGTTCAAAGTGTAGAAAACAGGTTTACATGTACCATATATTACAAAATTAAAGATCTGCAGTACCTGGCTGCAAGAGATCTTGGAATGACAATAGTAATTCTTGTCCAATCCTCAAAGTCTCCTGTGTAATAGATAGTTGGTTCACTCAGCTCTCGAGAACTTCCTTCACACCCTTTGATTCCAGGAGATGCAGGATAACAGCCCTCCTTCACAAGTGACCAGAATAGGCCAGCATCATGGGAATACTGAAGCAGAACTGGAGCAGAACTACTGTACTGGTTAGTGCAACCAATGTTAAGCTGCAAAAAAATGGGAGTAAAAAGGAGTAGGTTAGATATGGGACATGTAGACTTACATGTATATGTATGTTGTTAATTATCAACCACATCAAATTTAAAATTTTAAATTTGTGAGTCTAAATTCTACACACATTTGGAGACTGGAAACCAATCACTAAATTTTGGAACCTATTTCCTACACACTTGGCATTTTGCAGTAAAAAACCTTCCTATATCTTTGTTGAGGTTATTAAATTCAGCACAAAAGACATTTTATGGACATAAAACATCCCTGGAATAATGCCATGTACTTTTATATCCACAGTACAGAGCAGAGGTTCCAAATAGTATTGGGCTGGCACGATATTGCTGGTACTGTATTACTTTCTTTTCATCAGGAAAGCAAAGATTCAGGGAAGCCTTTAAACAAAGTGAAGCACTGTGTCAGACTAAAAAATACTGTGGTGAAGAATACTGGAGCTTCTATAAAGGCAATATACCAGTGTTGCCAACCCCAAATGCTCAAAAAATATGAGCCAGGTTCCTAATTATGAGATTGGCATAAAATAATGGGATGTTTACATAATGGCATAACTGAAGGAGCTGGGATTTTAAGAAAAAACACAGTACCACAAGATTCACAAGCAAATTGTGAGGATTAGCAGCACTAGCATATAAATCTGCATATAAAATAGGATAGACTAGAATACATTCAAAAAGTCACCATCTCTTCTAAAAAATCCTGTTCTGGAACCTTACATGAATAGCCTCTGGCTTCATTGCCTGTGACTCTTATGCAGGTGGATGAGTGGGAAAGGTGCAAAGTACACTCTCTATCTTTGCTCACCCCACACAAGGGTCTAGGGATAATGACAACCCTTGTGCACAGTCCATCACAGAGCGTGCATTCCCCTGAGTGCACACATGCGGTCTGCAGCAGTGCAGATCCATCTTCAGTGACACAACTCGCAAGCACTGTACATGCAAGCACTCACTGCACTCCTAATTTGCAGCACGGTGGGGTTTTTTTGACATGGGAAGATCCTGGTGCCAAAAACCCAGTGCCAGAAAAAAGTGGGGTGGCACATGTGACAGCAGCAAGTGCTGCCCAAAACTGGAGCCTGGCCAGCCAGAGCCATGCTCTGCATGCCTGGATTACTGCTGCTGGAGCTCTGGGAGGCCCCCAGGATCCCAGGTAAGGCTGCTGGGACCAGCCCAGGAGTTGGCCCTAGCCTCCCCTAACCCAGGGCCAGGGCAACTTGCTGTGTGCCAGAGTGTGTGCAGGGACATTTCCCAGGGACAACAAGTCATGGCACAAATATGCTAGTTGTCCCTGGATAATGCACATTCCCACACATAGGGATGCACCCAGAGAGGGGAATACGATGTGGGACGGTGTAGCCTGCACATTCCACCTGCATGCTTGGAGGTACTAAGAAGAACAGTTGGTGTCCCTCAACACACATCCCACTCAGCTTTCCAAATAGGTGTTCATCCCTGAGCATGAAGTGACATGCTAAAGTCAAACTAATCTTTCTCAGTCTTATCCACTGACTTTAATGGGATGCATGCAGGCTAGCAGTACAGGATCAGTCCCCACAATGTATTTGATAAAGCTGAAATACTAACACCAATTCATGTGAAAAAGGAGTGTATATTAATATATTTTCCTATTAGTTTGAAGCTACTAATTTCAGTTTTCAAACTATTATAAGTGTAATATTAGAAAACTGAAATTAATATTCACTACTGCACTACAGAAATGATCTAATATGAAATATATAAACTGGCAGAAGAGTAGTTGCACCTGAGCTTACCTAGACAAAATGATTCCAGGCAGTTCTTGACAATGGAAGCTTCACAAGTTCATGCAGCACTTCAATGCATGCTTAGAGATAAGCATGTCAATGGAACTTAAGCATGTACTTAAACTGAAGTACCTGCCTAAGAGCTTTCTTGAACAGTTAGCTGTGTTTGTCTGAAGTCAGGCAGAAGGCAGGACAGTGTGGCACCTTGTACACTAATTCACTCAGACAGGCATCAGCTTTCATAAGATACAGGCTGCTTTGTCAGATGCCATGAATGGACTTGCAGAGAGCAGAGATACTAAACAGAAAGGAGTAAGGGCATTTCAATACAAAGGTTAGGGAAAGGGGAGAAAATGAGGGGCACTGCTGAGACTCACCTTCAACTCACCTTTGCCTCTCCTAGCAGTGCTCCCTCCTTTCTTCCCCCTTTGCTTATTCTTTGTATTTAAATGACCTAATCCCTTTCTGCAGAAAGAGGTAGTTAGCCCTGTTAGTCTGAAGCCAGGCAGAAGTCAGGGTGGAGATGCAGTTTATAGATTAAGTGAATCAGAGATGCATAAGACTGTGAGCTACAGTTTACTTCATCAGATGCTGGGCATGTAGTGAGTTGTGGCTCATGAAAGCTTATGCATCTCTGATTCACTTAGAAAGGAATAAGGTAGGGTAGAGGTGCACCTTAAAGACGATTTCATATCCCTGTTCTTTGCAAGTTTATTTATAGCATCTGATGAAGTAGACTGTAGCCTATGTAAGGTCATGCCTCTCTGAAAGAATTTTTGGTTTACATTACTGTGCTAAAAAATTTCAGAAACATAATGTATTTGACTATTATTAAATATTGCTTTATTTAGACTATGTTAGTATGCCTGGACCTCTGCCACGTATAATGCTTATGGAAGCATTATTTTGTCAGTCAAATGGAAAAAAAATGTGTCAAGATGTGAGTAGCATAGTTTTCTGGTTAAATGTTATTTATATATTCAAGTTTTTATCTATTTTTTTACAGTTTTAGGAACAATGTAATTAACACTGATGCAAGCACTGTTCTCAGTTTGCTTAGCATTTTATTAGCATAAACTTTTAAATGGAATGAGATTATTTTACAAATCCCCTTATTTCTAGCTAACTTTCCTATTTATAGAATGGTGGGAATTATATTTGAAAAGCTGCCTGTAAACATCTGATCTCTTTAATAATTCCACTTGTAAATTATTCAGTGCCTGTATCCACCAATTATGTAAGGACCATGTATTTGTGGCTAGCTCATTAAAATTGCATTGCAACCAACCTCCAGAATTCACCAACGGGATTTCATTATAAACTCAATAAAATTTTGATTAGGGTTCAGAAACAACATCTTGTCAGAGCAAAGCCACTTTTTTTTGAGTCTATATTCTGATGTATTGTTAAAGCACAGAAAATTTTGTAAGTCCTTTAAAGAAGAGAATACTAATTAGAGCCTCTATTCACTTATACAATAAAAGTAAATTGTTTGCGAAATCCACATCCAAGAATAGAATAGCCTGTACATCCTTAGTTTTATGTATAAAAAATTCCTCATGCCACACAGAAGCTTTGTTATCATTAAGTATCAAATAGGATAATTTAGGGGAGGACTTTATCCCCTCTATTGCAGAAGCACTTCCTGATATGTAGTGGGATATAAAGACTATTACTTTAAGTCACTTCTGAGGATCGTTATACAATGACAAGCTTTTAAGATTTGTTTTGGTAGAACAAACAAAGCCCTCCTGCTCCATACTTGTTGTAATGTCTTTCTTTTATAGAAGACAAAGTTATTTATTTGAGCAGTACCACATATTTATGTCCTTTGCATCTTTCACACAGATAGAAATATAATAATTTAGTGACCAGGTTGCAAATTTAATCTCACAGGTAGATTTTATTCATGTGATCAGACCTGCTGAGATCAGTGATTCCTTTTCATTTGTCCACGTCTTAATCTGATCTAGTGAGATTTATAGTAAAAGAATACCTTAAACTGGAGAACGTATCCAGGTTTCAGTGTTAAATCCCGAGTCACTGCAAATCGGTCCCCATCTGATTTACCAAATAGCATGGCTGATGGTGTGGCAGAACAGAAACTTTCATTTTTGACCATTCCCTCGTTAGCCAACATCAGCCACACACTGAGCTGGTTCATAGGATAATCAAAAGCTGGTTTCTCATAAAAGTTCTGGTGGAAATGAAAACAAAAACAATGACAAAAAATGCCAGTGCCTTGCAACATGACATCCTGATAAGCTACCTTTCAAATACATTTTTCTGACTTGATTCTTGGAATGATATGTATGTAAACTATTTAGTATCATTGGGTGCATCTACACATGCTATTAAATGCAAAGCAATAAACACCGGTGAAGTTTGTGCCGGAGTTTATTTCTCTTGGGTGCCATGTTTACCTGTGTTCCTGGGACCACAGCACATTGAGCCAGGTTGGAGCAGCCCCAGCTGATATGAGGTCCGGGGGGCCAGCCTGCCAGCTCGTGGATGCTCTGACCTGGCTCAACATACTGTGGTGGGGCTGGCTGGGGCACAAGGGTGCAGGGGCTAGCTGGTAGGCAGCCCCTGTACTGAAGCATCCTTGTGCCCCAGCCAGCCCCGTCAGTGTCTACACGTGCATTGCAGTGCACTAAATACCACTGCTGTAGGATAGTACCTGTTTTGAAAAGTACTAACCTATGATGATGTTTATTAGTTTACTGTGACCTAATAGGGCTATGAATGTAGATGCTGAGACTTTATTGCAGAGCCAATTAGGCAACTCTGCAGTAAACACCTCATGTAGATGCACACATTATGTTCTGAAAGGGGCCTCATTATTTGCAGGCAAGGATATTCCTACAAATATTACAGTTTCTTTAGTGGTAACCAATCCATTTTAAATGACTAAGCCTTGGTACATCCCATTTCTTTAAGGTACCTGCAGACTAATATTGCTGATTACCTGTGGTAAAGTTGGGTTAATGACGGGAATGATGCGCTTCTGCTTTTCTGACAAAATGATGATATCATCAATGGCCCACTGGTCATAACCTTCTCCTGAAAACACTGGCTGCCACCAGCGGAATCTAGTGCAAGGAGTCTTTGCAGCGGCAGGAAGCTCGAGATAGACAAATCTACAAGAAAAGATTTGGGCAGAACTTCATAGAACACTCAGTTCTTAAAGAGGAATATGAAATGTCACACAGCAGAGGGAAGAGGCCACAAAAAGCTAAACTAATTTTATAGGTGGGAAGCCCTAGAAATATTCCAGATCTTCCCTATCTGTAAAACTTGAATAATGCTACTTCCCTTCTCCTTTTCCCCTTGCTGGAAACTTTTAGTGAAAAAAAGCTACATATGTTTTACAGAATGAGGTTAGGGTCAAATCTGTTTCTGCCAATGTTCAACGTTCCTTTAAGACTTCCATCAGGTAGCTCTGAAATCCCTAGTTTTTGGAGGTGGGCTTAAAATTTGGCAGTGGGCTTGCTAGGGATCAGAGAGAAGCTTGAGAAATCCAGCTGAATTTTGCTAAGTTACACGCCTCTGAATCTCTCCATTCAAACATGCTTAGCAGAGGTTTATTAGAAGTTAGTAGCTAAATGCTCTGTGTCAAAGGGACAGGTCTCAAAGGTAGCCATAATGCGCTCTGGTGGCCTCATGAATCCTGCCTTACTCTGGCTCTGTGTATCCTCCCTCTTCATTCTTGCCTGCCATGCCACGCTGGAAATATATATATGTATTTTTAAAAAGGAGGCTGCCCTAGAGTCCTAGAGTGAGTCTTAGTCAGCCTTCACACCCATTGGTCCCTCTCAGACCCCAATGATCCCAATCATTTCTCACATCATGCCAGTCTTCCTGGCTCATATGTGCACCTCCAAGGGCACCTGTTGCTTTATGGGCTATCCTTGGCCTCTGATCCTCTCTTACAACCGTAACCATGCCTTACAGGTGTTATGAATCAATGACCTTGGTGGGCACCTGACCACCACCTAATGTCATGCCACCTTAGGTATCTTACCCTTTTGGGGGCCTCGGCCTTCACAGCTTCTTCCCCTTTCCTCTCCCTAGTTCCCTTTTTGCCTAGGTCCACTGTGCTGTTCTTGACTTCGGGGTCCCAGCCTTTAGCTTGCCCCTTTGGGCACTGGGACCCCAGGCCCTGGTCTCTGTCCATCTTTGGGTAACAGGCCTCTGGCTCTATGTCTCTGCCCCTCTTGAGCACTGGGCCCCTAGCCCTGTCTATACTCTGGCCCTCTTGGGCACTGCTTGTTTGTGCTAGGACCCACCACTGGTAGGGCTTCAAAACCACATGTCCCGCAGGCACCCTGAAGCTGCTGCCCTGCTCCAGCAGGCCTCAGCCTTTAAGTGCCTCTCTGGCACTGCTGGAACCTCCTAACCACCCCTTTCCTAGTCCCACCCAAACTGCCAGGATAACTAAATGCCAAGGAGCAGCAACTACTTCACATAAACATCCCCTTCTGGGTAAACCAAACCTCAACAAAAGAGATAACATATTACCAATTTAAAAGAAGGAAAGCTATCACTCCCTCAGAGTAAACAACCAAACACCAAAGCAGCCCCACTCCTGGGTCCTTCCTGCTTCCTATTCCTCAAGTGTTCGGCTCTGGCCTCAGGTACTAGCTCACCTACAGCCAGCTTGCTGCAAGACACCTGCCTCGGCCCTGAGCCCTCTGGCTCTGCTAAAAACCCTAAATGCTCTGGCAGCAAAATCAAACTCTTCTCATCTTGGGGTCTGGCTCCTTGTAAGCCTTCAACACCTTACAGTGCACATTGCCACTGAATTTCAACCAGCTGCTCCAGCTACAGTCACCCCAATCCAGAGCTCCTTCCCTAATAGCCTGCAGGGCCAGTCTGCCTGCCATGGTTCAAGCCCTGGGTTTATGCATCTCCCAGGCATGGCCCCTTTCCATTCAGGTGATCTCCCTGGGTGGGCTACAGGTGTCCCTTAATTGGGCTTGCAGGCTCAACTCTGTGGCAGCTTTCTGTGACTGTCTAGCTGTTGCAGCAGTGCTTTACTTGCAATATCCTAGCTGTATTATGGCAGAGCCATTAGCTTGGCACTAGATGCTTATGGCTTTCAAACCTCCCCCCAGGGCCCTGTTTTTTTGGAGCTTCTACCAGGCAGTCTTCCCCAGCTGTGGTTCTCCGAACTGCAGTTTCCCTCTCTTCAAATAACCACTGCCAGAGGTGCTCTGTTACACTCTGCGTATTACCTCTACAATTAACATGCTTCAGCCAGAGTAGCAGATGCTGGGCATGACTGAGAGCAGAGATTTCCCTTCTTGTGCTCTCATTGCTCTTTTTGCTGAAGCTCAGACAATGTGGGGGAGAAGAAAGAAAAACCTGACAAGTAGGGCTATGTGAAGCTTTGGGTGCTGATTTGATTCAGAGGAGATTGGGCTTGACTCGGTGGCCGAATCTCCAAATCCAAATCAAATCAGGAGACCCATTAAAAGGTCCAAATTGATTCAAAGCTCTCCGAATCTATTCGGAAAAGATTCGGAGAGGTTTGGAGATTCAGGCAGTCCCTGCTGGCTGCAGCAGGGAGCTGGACCCAGACTCCATGCTGGTAAGTAGGGGGTGGGGGACAGGG